CGTCCATGTTCGGAAGAAAGGAGTACGCCCGAGCCGCTCCAGACGTAACCTCTGGACACGGGCCCAAGCCCGAAATCACCTTCCCGACCAGGGCATCCGAGCGACCCGAACACGACGACGCCCTTGTGATATCGGCTAGGGTGGCCAACGCGTAGGTAAGAAGGATCATGGTCGACACTGGGAGCTCGGCCGATATACTCTACTTCGACGCCTTCCAGAAGCTCGGCTTGGCCAGGGAGAATATGAGGCCAATGAGTTCAGCGCTCACCGGATTCACAGGAGATTCGATATCACCTCTGGGGGCTATTACTCTGCCCCTAACCCTAGGGGTCCCGCCGAGGTCGAAGACGGTAATGACCACCTTTTTGGTGGTTGACCTTCCCACTACTTACAACGCCATACTCGGACGGCCAACCCTCAACAAGGTCAAAGTCATCATCTCGACCTACTACCAAACCATCAAGTTCCCGACTCACACTGGGGTCGGAGAAGTTACGGGAAGCCCCCGAGAGTCCAGGCGGTGCTACCTGACCGTCGTTTCACTACACAAGAGGACCAAGATCGAGCCGTCGCTGGAAGATCCGCGGGAAAAAAAAAAGCCGGCCCCTCATCCCGAGTCGAGGGGGTCCACCGTGGATATACCATTACAAGAAGCCCGGCCTGACCGGACGGTCAAAGTTGGTTCGGAACTACCCGAACAGGAACGAGAGCAGCTCGTCGGCCTCCTGCGGGAACATGCCGACGTCTTCGCCTGGTCCCCATCTGACATGACGGGCGTCGATCCAGGAGTCGCACAGCACCATCTCAACATCCCACCTGACGCTCGCCCGGTGAAACAAAGACCCAAGCGGTAAGCCCCTGACCGGCAACGTGCCATACAAGAAGAGGTGACCCGTCTCTTAGCGGCAGGCTTCATAGAAGAAGCCAGGTATCCTCAATGGCTGTCCAATGTAGTCCTTGTGAAAAAACACAATGGAAGCTGGAGGATGTGCGTTGACTACACTAGTCTCAACAATGCATGCCCGAAAGACTGCTACCCCCTCCCAAGGATCGACCAACTGGTCGACGCGACGGCCGGACACGCACGCCTCTCTTTCATGGACGCCTATTCGGGATACAACCAGATCAGGATGGCGCCCGAAGACAGAGAGCATACGACCTTCCTCACCGATCAAGGGGTGTACTTCTATAAGGTCATGCCGTTCGGATTGAAGAACGTCGGGGCCACATATCAGAGAATGGTGAACAAGATGTTCGCCCACCAGATCGGGAGGAACATGAAAGTTTACGTGGACGACATGATCGACATGCAGTCACCCCGGATGATCAAGGACCTGCAGCGACTTAACGGAAGGCTGGTTGCCATGTCTCGCTTCCTTGCCCGATCAGGCGATCGCTGCCTCCCCTTCTTCAGGGCGCTCAAAAACTCGAAAAGCTTCCAGTGGACGACGGAGTGTGAGGAAGCTTTCAAACAAACGAAGCAGCACCTGGCCAACCTCCCCCGACTCGCCTCTGTTTCTCCCGGGGAAAAGCTGGGCCTCTACCTAGCGGCCTCCCCCCATGCAGTCAGTTCCGTCATGATCGAAGAAAGCTCTGGCGAACAACTTCTAATCTACTACGTCAGCCACATCCTGAGCGGACCCGAGGGGCGTTACCCGCCGATAGAGAAACTCGCGCTCGCCCTGGTGCTGTCAGCTCGGAAGTTGCGCCCCTACTTCCAGGCCCACCCGGTGGAGGTCATCACCGACCAACCCCTTCGGCAGGTTTTATCTAAATTTGATGTTGCAGGACGGCTCCTCAAATGGGCGGTGGAGCTCGGCGAGCATGATATAATATACGTGCCCAGGACCGCCATCAAGGCCCAGGCGATAGCCGACTTCATCGCGGAGCTAACTCAGGTGGCAGACGGGGATCTCGAGCAACCTCCCAAGGCTTGGATCCTACACGTGGACGGCTCGGCCAGCTCAAAGGGTGCCGGCGCGGGACTGGTTCTGCTCGCCCCCGACGGTCGCTCGTTCGAGCACTCCCTCCGCTTCGGGTTTAAAGCCACTAACAACGAAGCGGAATACGAGGCGCTCCTAGCAGGACTCAAGTTGGCCCTCGAGATGCAGGTGGCTGCTATACACGTTCTCACTGACTCGCAGCTTGTGGCCGAGCAGCTCAGCGGTGGATACGAGGCTCGGGACCCAACCATGGCGAAATACCTGGCACAGGTAAGGGACCTGACTGCTAA